TGTTTTGGTTTTGTCTTTTGATGCTGGAGTTAGATCCCAGGACCTAGGCTCACAGGAAATATGTACTGTGCCACTGAGTTACCACCTCAACCCCATCAGGGTTATTAACATCATACTTATTTTATTTTTTTCATTATTTCCTTGGATCTTACACAAGGGAGTAGGTTGTATGCAGGAATATTACTAATTAAAAGGTGGAATGCTGGATCTTGTCCCACCCCCACCTTGATCAGCACTTTTCTCTGCTTACAGAGAAAAGACTTCAACTTGGCCACAGTTCCCCCCCCCCACCCCTTGAATCTTTTATTCATTCTCACTGTTAAAATCCTTTGATAAGTAAGGTGTGCTTAGCTGAGGTGTGATCTCAAAGATCTAAGAAACCAAGCAGACAAATTCTGACAGTCTGATTTTCTTAATAGATTTCAGAACTTAGCCCATACTCATAAAATGGAATAATGCTTATAAACATTGACACACTCCATACCTTTTCTTATATGAGTCTGTGGGATTTACCCTGAGAGTTCTACCCAGTACATGTATGTGGAGGGGTTGGTGGTGAGCACCTGATTTTTTATCAACTAAAACCTTTATTTGAAAGTACAATGTTTACTTGAATAAGACTGTAAGTCATAATTCCATCTCTCCTGTTTTAATCTCAATTGTACCTGGGCCAGTGGCTCACTCCTATAATGCTAACTAATCAGGAGGCTGAAATCTGAGGATCATGGTTCAAAGCCAGTCAAGGCAGGAGAGTCCATGAGACTCTTATTTCTACCAAAAAAGCTGGAAGTGGAGCTGTGCCTCAAGCAATAGCTCTAGCCTTAAGCCAAAACTGTAAGGCACACCTCCCAGGCATTGAGTTCAAGCCCCAGTACTGATATGTGTGTGCACACCCACCCACCACCTCCACCACCACATACCTACAAGCTGAGACAGGCTGAGAAACTTTGAGCATGGCCTTTCTTGGATATTTCTTCCTTAAAGAATTTTATCAGCTGGAGTAGTGATCAGATGAATAAGTTGTTTATTGTTCATTCCTCTGGTATTTTTGTGGGTTGTGGCTTAAGGAAGCTCAACTTTCTTTTCTCTTTCTTTCTTTCCCTTCCTTCCTTCCTTCCTTCCTTCCTTCCTTCCTTCCTTCCTTCCTTCCTTCCTCCTTCCTTTCTTCCCTTCTCCATTAAGGGACTTGAACTCAGGGCCTGGGCACAATTCCTGAACTTTTTTGTTCTACTGCTTTGAGCCACAGCTCTCCGGTTTTCTGGTGACTAGTTGGAGATAATATTCTCACAGACTTACTTACTGGGGCTAGCTTCAAACCAGAGATCTCAGATCTCAGACTCCTTAATAGCTAGGGTTACAGACATGAGCCACCAGCGACTAGCTGAGTTTTATTTTACTATGCCCCCTTCCTAGTTTCATAGACCAAGAGAATTTGGGGAAGGAGTTATGCTAAGGGACACTGGACCATAGTGTCTCTCCCCAGAAACAGAAAACACACACACACACACAGAGTTGAGCCAAAATCACAACATCTCTTTGCCACTCTGGTGACATCTGGAATAAAAAACAACCCCCCCCCCCTGCACAAGTAAGTACAGTCCTTGCTTGTAAGGAGGCTTTAGGATAGAAATCAAGCAGCACTGGAAGAAGGGGGAAGGGAACTCGCACAGGAATCCTTGGTGGGGTTTGGATTAACAGGGATCAAGACAGATACCTGTTTATAGCCCACGTTTCTGCGAGCTCCACCCCCCCTACCCCCTGCTGTCCCCCGGAGGGAAGGGGGGGAACAGTTTAGAGCATTCCAGCTTGAAGCTTAGGTAGCAGGCTTCTGAATCAATTTTTAGAAATCATAGCTCTGGGGAGAACCAGAGGTGTGCGGAGGAAAGTTGCGCCACCAAAGACGGCTTATATGGGGGGAGGGGAGGGGGAGAGGAAGCAAACTCCATGGCGTTTATAAAGCAAATTGCAGGGTTTCAAATGCAGCCCAACAGTCCCCAAGCCAAAAGGTCACAGGCTGGTTTGCGTTTGCACATAATTTCGGGACAGGGGCACTCTCCCCCAAGCGATGCAAAGCCCTGGGAGGTGATCTGGGGAGGAGGGGTTCTCAGAGAGACCTGGAGAAGGTGTACAGTTGCTGGACCTGCGGGGTTAGGAAAGCGGAGTAAGTGAAGCCTTGGGTCCGCCCCGCAGCCTAGCCGCCGACAGGAGGCGCCCTGTCACTGTAGAAGCCATCGCCCAGCGCTCCCGGCTGTCCCGGATCCTGACCACCAACTGGGTGTGAATAAAGGTAAGAGCTCCCAAGGTCGGCTCGCTAAGACAGTAGCTCCCTTCATCCTTAGGACCTTCTCTCCCAACACCTAGTCACTCATTTTGCACGTGGAATGATTTCTAAGTCCAAATATTCAACCAGGAGCAAAATCGGAAAGGAGAGTGGGCATGCTCATGAGTTCACCCGCACCCATTCACAGGCCATCACAGTATTCCTCTCTCTCTCTCTCTCTCTCTCTCTCTCTCTCTGTGTGTGTGTGTGTGTGTGTGTGTGTGTGTGTGTGTGTGTTGGTCCTGGGGCTTGAACTCAGGGTCTTGATCTTTTTTTGTTCAAGGCCAGCGCTCTACCACTTGAGCCACAGTTCTACTTCCAAGGTGTTTTGGTGTGTGTGTGTGTGTGTGTGTTTAACTGGGCATAAGAGCCACACAGTCTTTCCAGCTGGGGCTAGCTTTGAACCATGATCCTCAGATCTCAGCCTCCTGAGTAACTAGGATTACAGGTGTGAACCACTGGCAATCAGCCCAGAATATTCTTGAGTTTTCAATTCCAGACACCCCAGAAATCAGCCTGTTTGTCCTTATGTCAGTTTTGGTTTTTAAGTGCTCTGTGGGGAGGAGAGCCAGTTCGCAGTGTGCTTGGGAAAACTGTTGTGAATGTATTTCAGCCCTGGTCACTGTAGAAGGGTTTGTAAAGTAGCTTCTTTTCTGGGCTGTTTTACATGTGCACCGCTCTTTTCCAAGTCCTTACTTAGTAGGGTGCAGAAATCGTTTGCCTGCATCTTCTGGGTGTGTCTCAGAGAAGATGCTAGGGATCTGACCTCTCCTGCGTCCGAGTCCATGTTCACTTGATGTGCTTATGCACTTTCTGGATTCATCATGCCTGCCCGTTGCCTCTCCTCTAGATCCCTCTGCACTCTTTCACAGGGCACCAGCTTCAGCAGAAACTGCCTTGGTTAATGGGACAGTCTGGCTCTGAACTCGTTCAGAGGACTAATTAATGCTTTGCTTAATATATATTGTCCAAAGCTACAACAGCTACAATCAAAAGGTATGCAAAGCCCCAGGGGGGGGGGCGGGATTGGGGGACATGGTTCCTGATATCTACTGTGACCTTCCATTGCTTCACATTCCTGCCTGACTGGCCTTCATTCCAGGAGTCTGTTCCCAAGGCTCAACTCCTTGCTTGCCACTCCATCTCTATCTTCTGCTACCACCACCTTCAGAGGGGCCTGCACTGGAGATCCACTATTTCTTTCTTTCTTTCTTTCTTTTTGGTGGCATCTCTGAAGAAGAGTGCTCAGGACTGTATCCCCAAGGCCCAGCTAGTTTTTCAAAACTATGAAAGACCTTGCATAACTAAATACATATAAACTCAACACACACACACACACACACACACACACACACACACACACATCTGGGTTTCCTGAGGTTTTGGTAGCTAACCTAGACCAAGTGACAAGTTTTGCATCCAGGAGAAATAAAAGAGAAGTATACAGTTCGCTGAAGTTCCTGGTTTTTTTTTTTAAATCCTAATTTAAAAAAAATAGCCCTTGTGGGAAGCAGAAAGAACAGAGACCCTGCTGAAGTCATTCCATTCGCCCCCAGTATCGACTCCTTTATTCTCCTCTCCCCTCCTATACCTCTCCACCTCCTGCCCTGTTTGTTTTAGTTACGAAATGCTGTGGGCACCTAGGTTGTGACTGAAAAGTAACCTTGAACCACGCTGGCCTGAATGACAGAGGGAAATCGCAGCCTCCAGAGCGTCGTCTGCAGCTCTTGGAGGCGGCGGCCACCCGTTCGCCCCCCACCTCCACCCCCGAGTAAGTCGCAGGAGGTGGACTCTAAGGAAGCAGAAGGCGAAGGCCAGCGGCCCAAGCGCGCCCCAAACGCCGGCCCAGGCCACTCCGGGACTTCACCGTAACAGGGAGGGCCTTCCCAAGCAGTGGCGGGCGAGTTAAAGGTGTGTACACAGTTTTTCTAAATACGACAGCGCTTTGCAAATTGGCTGTCACCTGCTAGTTGTTTTGACAGGGACTGTGCGCCGCCGTGAGCGAAAAGCAACCCGGGATAAATAAATCCGGTTTAAATAAGGCTCTGCGGGGCAGGAGGCCGGACGCACCCTTGGAGAGAGACGCTCTGGGTTTCTCCCAGCTATGGGCAGGGCGGGGACAGGAGTCCGAGCCGCTCCCGGGGGTGGGTGGCTTTTTCCCAGCTTTCTCCGCCCACGGAGGATTCTGCGTGGAGGAAGAGGGGTCTCCACCGAGATGCCCGCGCGCCCGTTTCTCTCCAGGCCAGCACCCCCACCCGGGCGCAGCAGGAGCGGGGCGGGAGCCGGGCGCAGAGGGGCAGGTGCGGGACTCCGGCTGGGGCTTCCTCTCACCTAGGTGTGAGCTGATTATTCAAATGGGCTGCCCGGGGTCTAGGGATTGGAGGCCCGCGCCCGCGCGCCGCGCTATATCACCAGCCGCCCACGTCACTGCGGCACTTGTCCGCTCGGCGGTCCACACCTCCTCCTCCCCCCCCTTCTCCTTCTCCTCCTCCTCCCCCCCCCCTCCTTGCCCCCGCGCGCCGCGAGCTTCCCGCCGCCTCCGGGCGGCTCGGCACTGCCAGCCAGCCTCAGCCTCCAACCGGGCAGCCGGGGAGCTCAGCGGTGGCGACGGGCGATCCCGACGGCGGGGTCGGTCAGGGCCACCTCCGCTCCTCGGCCCCCTCCACCGCGATCCACCCCTCCCGCCCACTTCCAACTACCGCCTCCGGCCAGCCCAGGGAGAGAGAGAGAGAGGGAGAGGGAGTGGAGCGGAGAGGGAGAGAGCGAGAGAGCGCGCGCGGGAGAGGGAGGGAGGGAGGGGACGGTGCCTTCGCAGACTTTTTTTTTTAAGAGGGTGGGGGTGGGGGCTGATTGCCGGTCGTTTGTTGTGGCTGTTAAATTTTAAACTGCCATGCACTCGGCTTCCAGTATGCTGGGAGCCGTGAAGATGGAAGGGCACGAGCCGTCCGACTGGAGCAGCTACTACGCCGAGCCAGAGGTAAGCGCTCGCTTTTTTTCCAGGGGGAAGTGGGGTTGGCGGCGTTTGCTCCGTCCCCAGCCTCAGGATCGCTCTCCTCGCGGGCACTCGCCCCCCACCCCCAGCCTTTCAGGACAGCCGCCCTTCCTTTTTTTTTTCGCCCTCCTTGGACTCAAATGGATCTCCTCTCTCTCTCTCTCTCTCTCTCTCTCTCTCTCTCTCTCTCTCTCTCTCTCCTCTTTTTTTATACGACACACTGTTAGCCTTGAGATAATATTAACTTTGTGATCAAATATTGACTCGCAGCGCCTCCAAATCCTCTTCGTGGCCGAGCCACGCACTATCCTAACAGAGTTATGTTTGGCAGTGCGCGGCTGGGGAGGGGTGGGAGGTCGGCCGGCGAGGGGGGGGGTGGGGAGCTGGAGAGGAAAAGGTGGGTAGGGGTTGGGGGGCTGAGGTGGAGGCAGAGTCACAGACTAGTGGACAAAGAGAAAGAAAAGTTTGTGACTGCCAAGCCCAGAGGCTTGTAATTCCACCCCCACCACTTCGCGGTTCCTTCCCTAGCCCTCGGCTCCACGCCTCTCTCTGGCGGCGGACTCCTCGCAGTCACTGTGTCCCGCTCCCCTTGAGACCCGGGAGTGAATGGGGTGTGTCCCCCGTTGGGAAGGTTCAGACGTAGGGGACCAATGTCCCAAAGGTTACTTTGGGAGACCGGGGGTGGCACCCGGGGACTCTGGGCCTTGGCACTGGCACAAGTCTCCTGGTGCAGGAAGAACTTAGGGTGAGCTGGTGTGAGAGGAGGGTACATCTGGGTGCCTGATTTGCTGGCACTCCAGGGGTCCGCTGGTTTTGAGAGTCGGAGGCAAACACAGAAGGGTGGAGAACCAGACAACATAGTATCCGGCAGCCGCAGCCCGCTGGCCACCTTCCGCTGAGCGATCACGGCTCGCTCCGGGTGAAGTGGACTCGATGTCCGGGGACTGGAATCCAGGGGAAGGAAGCGCTCCCCGGAGGCCTCCCGGGAGGCGGGAGATTGGGCTGCACTTCGATGGGTGTGAAGTGTGGGAGCAAGCTGGATCCGGGGTGCTAACACTGTCGCTCCCTTCTCCCTCCCCCCGCCCGCCTCTCCGGGCTGTGTGTCCACAGGGCTACTCCTCGGTGAGCAACATGAACGCCGCGGGCCTGGGGATGAACGGCATGAATACGTACATGAGCATGTCGGCGGCCGCCATGGGCAGCGGCTCCGGCAACATGAGCGCGGGTTCCATGAACATGTCTTCGTACGTGGGCGCAGGCATGAGCCCGTCTCTAGCGGGCATGTCCCCCGGCGCGGGCGCCATGGCGGGCATGGGCGGCTCGGCTGGAGCAGCTGGCGTGGCGGGCATGGGACCGCACCTGAGTCCGAGCCTGAGCCCGCTGGGCGGGCAGGCGGCGGGGGCCATGGGTGGTCTGGCCCCTTACGCCAACATGAACTCCATGAGCCCCATGTACGGGCAGGCGGGTCTGAGCCGCGCGCGCGACCCCAAGACGTACCGGCGCAGCTACACGCACGCCAAGCCACCGTACTCGTACATCTCCCTCATCACCATGGCCATCCAGCAGAGCCCCAATAAGATGCTGACGCTGAGCGAGATCTACCAGTGGATCATGGACCTCTTTCCTTTCTATCGGCAAAACCAGCAGCGCTGGCAGAACTCCATCCGCCACTCGCTCTCCTTCAACGACTGCTTCCTCAAGGTGCCCCGCTCGCCCGACAAGCCCGGTAAGGGCTCCTTCTGGACCCTGCACCCCGATTCCGGCAACATGTTCGAGAATGGCTGCTACCTGCGCCGCCAGAAGCGCTTCAAGTGTGAGAAGCAGCTGGCGCTGAAGGAGGCTGCTGGCGCAGGGGGCGGTGGCAAGAAGGCCATGGCCGGGACTCCAGCCTCCCAGGCTCAGCTCGGGGAGGCGGCCGGATCAGCCTCGGAGACTCCCGCGGGCACTGAGTCACCTCACTCGAGCGCCTCCCCGTGCCAGGAGCACAAGCGAGGGGGTCTGGGGGAGCTGAAGGGGGCGCCCGCCGCGGCACTGAGTCCCCCGGAGCCAGCGCCCTCGCCCGGGCAGCAGCAGCAGCAGGCTGCAGCCCACCTGCTGGGCCCGCCCCACCACCCTGGCCTGCCGCCCGAGGCCCACCTCAAGCCCGAGCACCACTACGCCTTCAACCATCCCTTCTCCATCAACAACCTCATGTCCTCCGAGCAGCAACACCACCACAGTCACCACCACCACCAGTCCCATAAAATGGACCTCAAGGCGTATGAACAGGTGATGCACTATCCTGGCTATGGCTCTCCGATGCCGGGCAGTTTGGCCATGGGCCCTGTCACGAACAAAGGGGGCCTGGACGCCTCGCCACTGGCCGCAGACACCTCCTACTACCAGGGAGTGTACTCCCGGCCCATTATGAACTCCTCTTAAGAAGGCTTCAGGACCTGCTAGCCCTAGCAGCCGGGGTCGTGGAGAGAAGACACTGGTAGAGACACTATGGGCAGGGGGTGTTAGAAAGCTGCAGAAGAGAAGAAATCCATTCCATCTCCACACCCCCAGAGAGCAATCTCCCACAACCTCTGCAACCCTTCTATCCCAAACAGGCCACACAAGGGGTATCCTGTGATGTCATTCTAATAAATAAGAGAAAGGGGGGAGGGTTATAAAGGTTTTTTTTTTAAGTCTCCAGTTTCCACTTCGATGTAGACAGACTCCTGCATCTTAAAGCACCTGAAAATTCTGATTTTTTTTCATTGTTGTTGTTCTCCATTGCTGTCATTGCAGGGAAATCTTACTTAAAAAAAAAAAAACTTTTGTGAGTGACTTGGTGTAAAACCATGTAGTTTTTAACCAGAATCCAGAGGGTTGTATTATTGTTCAAAAAGAGGAAACACAGTAATGTAAGGGTCTGTTGCAAATGACCAAGAAAAAAAAAAGAAAAACTCATTCCCATTATCGACAAGGTGAAATCCAAGTCTTGGGTCTGATTAATTTATGGTTTTTGCGTGCTTTATTTATGGCTTATAAATGTGTAGTCTGGCTACAAGGGCCAGAGTTCCACAAATCTATATTAAAGTGTTATTGCCGGTTTTATCCTTTGACTCTTCTCAGGATTTCCTTTGTCTTCCTTTCTCTCTTCCCTTTCCCTCCTTTCTTTTTTCTCTTTTTACTTGGAATTACCTAAAAAGTAGGAAATGATTTCAAGGTGGAAAGAGAAAGACCCTCGCTGCTGAGTATAGGGGATTTGTGTTGCTGTTGCTCCAACATTTTACTTAAATTTGAAAGCAGAACAGATTGTCCTTTAAGTACCTACTGCTGCAATCTAGATAACTGTACCATCTAACCATACCTCCATCAGTCACTCCACCATATTTCTCAAAATGCTTTTCTCCCCAGTAAATCACAGACACCAATTCAGCAAACACTTTCGCAAATATATTGTCAAACATCTCAGTATTGTGTTTTTTTTAAATATTGAGACTAACTTTAGACACAGTGAAACACACAAGTCCCAAACGGACCATTCCAGCAGGTTTATTTTTAAAGCCAGGAGAAATTGTCTATTTAACAGCCTCCCTCCCCTCCAGCCTGTGTTTGAAAAGTGAACCAAGGCTGAGCTAGCTTTCACTAGAGGACAGGTAAGATTTTAAGTGTGTTTCTAATCTCAGACCTCCTTTCAGGTCAGTGAATCCAGAGTAGATCAATTTGCGTTTTTGCCACCACTTCCCTGACCTTTCTGTGGAATCTTTTCTGCCTGGATTTTCCTGCCTCCAGCCCCCTGTCCACTCCACCAGTCTCCCTCACCTCCTGCCTCACATAGGAATTCTGTATATGAGGCGGATCTTGCTAGCACAGAAGTGGCAAGGCATGCAGTCTGGGGAAACTGTTAGAAAGTTATTTCAGAAATGGTTATAAATGCATACCTGAGGGGAATGACTCAAAAATTTTGGGGGGAATGAGCCAGTGCTACTTGCCAACTGACAGTAACAGTAGTGAGATCGCAGCATGTCAAGATTTGTGGCCCCTTGGTCCCAATGAACTCTGTCACCTTTGCTTATATTAATGTGCCCTGTCAACACTGATCATCTTGGCAAACCAGGATTGTAGGCCAGGGGGAGATGAATGGGTATTAAGTGAGCCTTCAAGAGAACTCTATAAAGAAAGAACCAAAAATGACTCTTACAAAATCAGGCCACTTCTTTCTAGTTGTCTCAAATTGTTGGAGGGGAGTTGAGGACCCGAAGGCAAAGGGTAGCTCCAGCAGTCAGTGACATTTGCATCTACTGACCTATTATTGGCTCAGCCAAGGCAGAAGCCAGTGTTGTCTCTGTGAACATGGGGCTTCACTTCTGTCAGTAGCAAAAAGTTTACTGTGGGTAAAATCACCACAGGCCTCTGAGGCCACAACTTCTTGCCTCTTGTTTTTCTAACCTGACACTCCCATGTGAGAGACTAGAAACTTTTGCGTCTCACAACTGTCCAAACCTGTAATAGCCTAGTCCTGGAGAGCATCTCCCTACATGCTCTCTGCCACCTTGCCAGAGGTCTCTGCCCACCCCCAACACTGGCCTCCCCACACACTTGGTGGGACCTGGGTTGATTCTCACCACTACCATTCCACCTCACCACTCTAAATCCCTTGTTATCGTTGTCCCGTAGAACACTAGGAGGAGAAATTGGGGAGAGAGGGGGATCCAGAGGCCACAGTCCGCAATCAAGCCACTCTACCGCGCAGCAAGGACACACACGTCGTGAGCCCCGGCTGAAATGTGCTTCATTAACACATAAAAGGCTCCCGTGGCGAGGGAGCGGAGAAGCAGGGCGGGGGGCCATGTGGGGGACAATGGAAGCTATAAGCGCTGCCTAACCTGCAATGTTTCCTATCGCACGCCCATTGTGCGAGGGTCGTTTTAAACTACTTAGGGTGCCCTCTCCACTGATCCCTGCCGATAAGATATAGTTCTGTCCGAATACATTAAAAGGACCTCGGGGAGCGGGCGCTTTCGGAGGCTTTTCTGCGAATCTCGAGTCACACACACACACACACACACACACACACACACACACACACGAGATCATCTTCTGGTCAGCAGTCTTGAGTTCCAAGCTTAGAAGCTCAGGGATCGCCCTCCACCCTTTCTCCTAACTCTCCGTATTGTGGGGTGCAGCGGCGACCCCCTCCCAAGCAATCTCCCCGCCTTTTTCTTGCTTTTTCCCCGCGCCTTCTGCGCGCGGGTTTAAGCAGCCGTGATCTGTGAATAAACAAAGTCAGTAAACAACCCGGAAAAAAAAAAAAACATTCTAGATCCGAATTCCAGGAGGGTAAACTTTCCTTGCCACGTCATACTTCAGCAAATTTGCACAGATATTATATTGCCTCCCCCTCCTTTATTATTCTTTTTTTTTAAACCAGGATCCCATTGTACTTAACTGAATTTTATAACGCTGATCGATATCTTGGTAAAATATTCATTTTTAAACTAGCGGGCAGTGAAATCTTTGCTTTGTGTGCTAAAGTCAACAGTCGCTCAGTTTGAGCTCAAATAAATGCAGGGATGCCTCGGCTGCGAGCAGTCGGCCACCTCCCTCCGCGCGCTGGACGCTCCGCCGCCAGCCCTGGAGCCCGCCAGCCCTCCAGCCAGACACCGCAGGTAGGGAGCGCGCCCACTCCACTCGGGGGCCGCACCCCGGCTTCCCGCAAAGGAGTCCGCCCCCCCTCCTTGCCTCGGGCCCTCACGCTTGTCTTCCCCTACCCCCTACCCCACCCCCCACTCTCACCAGTCTCTCTCCCTTCCAGCAGTTCAGATATCCAGGAGAGGTTGGGATGGGGAGGGGGAAAGCCCAGTGGATGAAGCACCCCCAAGGGGGTGAGTGGGAGGTAGCCTTTTTTTTTTTCATTCTGAGAATTTCTAAACTGCATGGGTTTGGGAAAATGAGTTGCCAACTGAGCAGTTAAGAGGGGGAGTTTGGTAGGACCCGGAAGCAATGAGAACCTAGGACAAGGCCCTGCATCCACTCCGGGCTAGGGATTCCAACAACGAGCCCAGTGCGGTTTCCCAAGAGCAGAGAATGTGTATGGGGCAGGAGAGCTCCCTGGGTCTCCGAATTTAGGAAGAAGGCCAGCAGAAAACGATGTGGGTGGTGCATGGGAGTGGGGAGAGACAGAGGCATGATCGTCACGACGCCCTCCCCACGCACCTACGGGTTTGAGTCCAGTCTGGTCTGTTCTTCCCAATTCTGGAGGGCCGTAGAGGCCGTGAGCGTCTCCACCAAGCGCGAGCAGGGGAGGGGCTGCGCCTTTCCGAGCAGCAACTAACTAACAACAACCCTGGCCTTTGAGAAGCGACTGGTGGCCTTTACACTCAAGAGTGCTCGGCTGTGGGCAGGCTGGGGGAACCTCGGAGATGGGCCCTTTAGGTAAAACAAAATAGCCTCGGGACCATTTCGTCCCAGCCTTCGTACATCCCGGTAGCATCCTGACTTCGTGAGCCAGAGTTCTCGATTGACCCAGGGCGACAGTGCGCTTTCACTTAGGCGTTAGAGTACCACAGGACTCAAGTTTGGAGGATAAAATAAAATTTAGCGTGTCTCTCCCGCCATCTGTAAAGAGACACGGACCTCAGAAAAACGAATAATTCCCTTGCACCAGTTAAAAACGGACTAGTTGTCAGGCTTTTGAAGTCTGGGTACCGAAAAGGTGTCTTCTCTCCCTCCCGCCCGCCCCCCCTACTTTGCCCCCCATCTACTCCATCCACATTTTCTTTCAAATCTACATTTCTCCCCAGGGTCCTGACTTTTAAATGCCTGGGTGATTCGCTGGGTTGTTCTGGGTCTTTCGCCAGGCTTGGAGAGACGGTCGGTAACCCGCCCAAAGAAAACTGCCTGTCACCCCATCTGGAAAGCTTTCTTCTAGTCTGTGCCCCAGGCACCAGATCAGGAACCTAAATGGGCGTAAATCGATCTCACTGACCCGCTCGGTCAGCGGTCTGCAAGCATCTGCGTTTGTGAGGGGTACAGGGGGGACACCTTAACTTCCTTCCACGGGGCGCGTCATTGGTGAGCCTTATTCACCACACCCGAGGTCCGCTAGAGATGCACCCGCACTCCCGCGAGCCCGGGCTCCGTCTAGCGCGGATGGTTATCTTCTTCCAACAACACGGAACGCCTGCAGGACACCGGCCAGGCTAATCGTTTTTAAATAATTAATGCTCCCCCGTTCCGCTGGTAATGCAGGGCCTCGAATCCGTCAATTACTTGTTATTAGAAGAGTGTCGCCCCACGGCCTTCCCTCGGGCCTTTGATGGCGCCGGGTCACCTCGCTCAGTCCACTCCACGGTGGAATTAAAAGGTGCTCGGCCTTTGAGAGCCGGGTGCCGAGTAGCTTGGGGCCCTTAATTCAGTGCGAGTTTTGAAAGAAAGACCCAGGCTTGAAGAGATGTAATCTTTCAAATGGCCAATTTAAACGCCCGATCTTTATCGCTCACCTTCTCCCGGCTTTATAGAGAAGTCAGTCTTCAATGCTTTGGGGGCCCCTTAACGTGAGGCAGGGAGGGGGAGGGGGAGGGCATGGAGAAGCAAGAGATAAGACTTAATAGGGCATAAAGAGAGGCTTTCGCCCTGGAAAATACCCGAAGTTACCCTAGGACAACTAGTTTTCTCATGGACATAATCAAGGGTCAGGGAGGGCTCCCAGCTGGAGGGGAAGGGGCAACTGAAAGCAGGTCTTCTAGAATGTGTAAGGAGAGTTCCCCTTATGAATACCCCTTATCCAAGAGACAGCGGGAAAGGAAACTCTTTCTATGTCGCAGGCCACTTCTGAACTGGGGCTTCTAAGCAGCTGGTGGTAGTTAAGGACTGCAAACTTGTAGCTACCAAGTTCTGCCTCACAGAATAGAAACACACACACACACACACACACACACACGCACACACCAGTGCACCCAAGTACCAGCCCATATTGCTGTCTCTGTTGTGGCAAAAGAACCTGAGATGTATTTGCTGGGTTGGGAATAGCATGGCACCAGCCTTTGATGCAGCACCATAGCAACGCGGGATAGCCAAGGAGTTGTTGAATGAAATTAGAAACTTTAAAAACACAAAACAAGG